ACTTTTAATTTGGGTGATCAAAAAATTAGTTACACAAGATAAAATCCCAACAAGGATTTTCTGCAAATATGCTGCTTTACAGATTTATTTTCACCAAAAATTCAGAATATCAATTGTATTTACAACTTACGTATTTTTTAATAGTCGATCTTCATTTCAGAAATCATTTCAAACAATCATCTGTTCAAATGAATTTAAAAGCACTATTATATTTTTTGAACTGATAAAATGTTTGTTAGATCAAGAACTAGTCCCTTAACAGTACACCGGTTTTCTTTGCCACCCTTTCGTGTCCTGTTTATTTTCATAGATCGGAAACAGAGCGGCCTCAGAAATAATACATGATTCCAACGCAGCGTTAAAAGAGAGCAAAGAGAATAGTAAAATAATAATCCTTGAATACGGGTCACGATCATGGTTCCGCGAAATTATAACAAAGTAACACCTACACAGATTATGCTGTGTTACTTCAGTTCCTAGTCTCATAATACAATAATGGTACACCTCACAATAATAATACAGTCAAAGAATTATTTTCATGCAATATGAATTGGTTATTAATAATTTTAATCGACTGCTTTCAAATTTTCATAATCAGGCTAAAAATCATACAGAAAAACGCTTAGTAAAATCCTTATAGCTTTAGTAAATTGAATGAGAGAAGAATACACGGCGCTAATATCGTATGGCGCCATAAACGCGTATGACGACAAGTATGATTGTAGCTGCTAATATTCGCGTCATTTTCTGAAATACCTGACGCAGTCGTTGCAAATATACCTGCAGTGCCGGACACGTCTGTGGGCACGGTTCGAGTCGTTCCAAAATAGATTTTCTCGCTATATTTAGTCGGCCCACACTCGATGTCCAGCCAAAAACCTTTAGACCTTCGACCTGCGCTGCGTTAACTTCCTTATATTACGAGAAATTTTCTCCAAAATGTTTAATGTGTTTTACCGCCACAATTTAAACGTAATTTAATCATATTCGATATTATTTTAAATACAAATAGCAATCGGAAGTGATTAGAATAAAACAAGACATCATAATTTAGCATCATTAACATCATTTAACGAGAAGTGGGAATGATGTTTTTTTTATTTAAGTTGATGTCGCGACTACTTATGTCTCATGCTTTATCTCCTTGGCTAATGTCACGCAGGGTGCCGCGGGTTATCCGCTATACATTTTTCACGCGTTAGCGTGCTCAAGTCAGCAGGAAGGTAGACAATCTAAGCGCCTATTTTGAGGGATTTTGGACGATTGCCCACTCTAATCTGCCTACTCACTGCCACTACGCGACCCAGAGCTCGTTACACGTCGAAGGCACTTCAACTTCCCTACGATATCTCTTTCCCTGATCGATAGCAATACACATTCATTTACTTCCTAATTGCACGATGACAATCAGTACAATGTGTGAGTTGTTACTAAACTGCGAATTTTTATGCAAAATTGAACATAGGTAGCCAATTAATAGAATGCATTTCGAATAAACGTTTCTCTTATCGTTTCTTCGCTGCAATGTGTATTCATCCTTCATATTTGTATAGTTTTATACATCGAATACAGTGGTTATGTATTGTATACATACATTCAATTTTTACATAAGTGCATAGAATCCGCAGTGTAATGACCGATAACAAAAGTATGGAGGATAACGAAGACAATAATACACTTCATCATTATCTAATCTTTGTTATCTAATTATAATCAATATATAAAGTGTTTAATAAATTGAAATTCGATTCTCAGGAAATGAGTTATCAACGAAACGTCTGAATTTTTTTGTAGCGATGCTAGGTGATCAAAGCGCGCCGCGAGAAGCTTTGAAATAGCCAGCGATGTCGCAGCCGCCGTCGAAACCTCATGGTAGACCAGGGCCAGGGGGTGGTTGGCAGGCTAGGCCTAACGCGCCCGGCCAGTATGGACCCCCTTCGCCGTTTAGTCCCACGGGCTCGCCGCATCCCCAACGAGCCCGGGGTCCACCAACCCCCGTTCATCATGCTCATCCTGCGTCTCCGCTGACGTATACTGGAATGATGCATCCGATGAGCCCGGTGCCTATCGGGATGCCGATTTCACCCGGAATGTCACCTGTTCTCGGATCGCCCACGGGATACATCCAATGTCCCAGGCCCAGATGGCCGTCACCCATTCCAGTGGGTAGTCAGGTGCCCAGGCCCTTCATACCGACACAGGTACGTCTTTCTTAAAAATTAATGCGATCAACATCAGTTCGACATTTACTTTCTTTCTTCAATAGGAAATTGACATGAGAGTTCAATTGGTTGGCAGTGTAGATTTGAAAATGATAGAACATTTAGTATTCTAGGGAGGGAGATATAAGAACTGCACTAAAACTACGGGGTTACTATCCTTCTATGACCTATAACAAAAGAGATTGTAATGACAGGCTGTTAACTCAGTAGCGTACCGATGTTTTTCAGTTTTCTGGTAATACTTGAAGCCCCAAGTGCCAAAACTTTCATTCTACAAATATTAATAGTAAATTTGCATTAATTTGTACATATTTAATATTTGCATAATTTTTAGTGCTCCAACTTCTATTCGAATATTTTATAGAATGAAAGTTTTGGTACTTAAACCTTCAAGCATAACTACATCGTTAGAAAATATATCGCTGCGTTACTAGGTTTACAGTATGTCATTATGACCTCTTTTCTTAAAGAGGTCAGGGACAGCAACCCCGCTGTTTTCCTGCAATTCTTACATCTCGCCCTCTAGGATACTTAGAGAAAATGTATTGGAACTAACATAAATCAATAGATAAATTTATTGATTTTTCAATTAGGTGGATAGGTGTCAAGTGTTTAATAATTGTCTTCATGAGATCAGAGATTAAAACGTCAAGAGATAATCGGAGAAGCGTTAGATTCCATGGAGAACAGCCAAAACCGTTCTTTATTTTGGGTTCATTAGTCATCGGAATAGACAGATCCAATCAGTAAATATAGATAGCTGTTAGCAGCGTTCTTCGAAACAGGAAACGTTGCATGTTGGGTTGTACTCGTGGCATGAAACACGTGTCAACTCTCTCGACAAAAGGGGTGGATAGGTAGATATGTCTCACGGTTCACGCGGCGGCGAACCACAAGGACTCGACATTCCTCAAAGGTTCTGATTCTCAGGCATCACGGAAACGTGACTCCGTGTCGTTCCGTTTCGCGTTTAATTTTATGTTCCACATGTTCGATTTGCGAGAACAAGGTTCGAGGCGAATTCACCACGTGGACACCGTTCACGCCCACGCGGCCGAACTGGTCGGAGCATCGCGATCGAAATAGAGACGCCCAAATGAAATGTAGGCCGCGGTTAACTTTCAACGTCCACATTCGCGTCAAATGCGAATGCACGGGCTGAATCTTTAAAGGGGCTGGGGTAGTCACATAACTTTCCGTTATTTAACGGGTCAATTTGTCGCCCTACGAAATTACGTTTTGCGGTTTTCGATTAGTTTTCCTCGTGAAGTAATGTCTCCTTTTAATAATTGCTTGTTATAGAGTTCCGTGGAAAGTGGCGCAACATCGCCTTTGGTAAGTGGACCACCCGAATACATGATTGGAACATACAGACCCGGCGAATACGAGTACGTTGGAGTACCACTGGATCACTCGCAGACGGAAGAGGAATCCAGCGGGCCCAGCACTGCCGAAATAATAGCCAACCAGAGCCAGGATTATGTGGACGAAAAGCTCGCTGAGTACCAAGCAACTATACAGCAGCTTCAAAGTGAGTATTATTTTCAAAATATTTTAGAAAATGTAAAATCGTGTGGACGAATGATTAAGTATAAATGAATTAAGTAAATTCTTTGAAACTCTTATTCTCTCTCTATCGAATATATGAACATGAAAAGTGTGTCAATTTAAGAAATGCTTGAATTAATTCAGACACTACTTAGTATTATTGGATAACTTGGATGCCAATTAGCATCAGAGACACCTTTACGAAAATTCACTTTTATTGGCAGCAGCAATTGCCACAACATATTATTTTTGTACATCACGGAGATAGACATTGACAATGATCTAGCGAACCGAAAACCAGTGTTTCCAATGCGGTTGCATGATACTTTTGGCAGCCGCGAAATCAATGAACGGCGGTCTAGTAATTTAGGAATTGAATGATACCTCTCACCTGGCAGTAAGGTCTATTAACTGAGAGGAGTAACATTACGTACGAGTAATAATTGGCTTTTAAACCTGTTGTTCTACTGGCTACTTAAAAAAAGTTGCTTCACGACTAGAATTGTTATCAGGAAATTGCTAATGAATGCTAACAAGTTGAATCTTTATTACATTTTTTGCAAATGGAAGTATACCTCGAATTCAATTTGCAATTCAATCCACACAGTCTTCACAGTTTTTTCTGTTCGAATTCGTTGAATTAATCGAGTCTCTTGTTTCATGATTTCAAGTATTCGTTTACATTTGTTGTTATTTTTCTCTCGTCTATAAATCTGAAAGACAGCAAATATTTGGCCAACGCTTAGACAGTATGCGAGATTTATGCGAACGTTAAGTACAATACGTCATTCAGGTTACTAAGAAATATGTATATAATTGTTGATTACTATCAGTGGATGAGTCACATTATTAATGACCCACATATAATAATCTTATATAATAATCCAATGTGAAGTTGATTTGCAAACTGAAGTATAACTTTGA